AGGAGACCATGTTTTAATTGCGCTGTTTTGTCTGAGAAGCTGTTCTTTCCTCTCACTTAGCGAAGTCTCTGTGACCTGAGTCGTTACCACTTCATGCATTGTGTTTGGCATACCTTTAAGATTTGTTAGTTTGCCTCAAGCTAAAGCATTCAGTCTCCTTCCTCCTTGCTCAACGATGACTGTTAACAAGGTGTCAACTTACCCCCTTTCCCCTTAATTCCTCCAAGAATTGTGTGTGCTTGAGCAGTAAAGCACATGTAAACACACTTAAGAGTAGTAAGAAACTAATTTCAGATCACATAGTTGAGCTATCTTAACCCTACATTTCAATTTCCTGCCACAGATCTGAATGTTTCTAATTGGATTACAGTACAAACATTTGTGCTTATGAGAGATACCTTGCTTTAAAGCTTTTTCTAGCTGGGGAGCTATTGGGTGGTTTGCTGTTTTTGCGTATTGATCCCATTTCTCCAATTTATTGTGTGGTATTCTGAAACAGCACATCTTGCTACTACTGCTTGCAGACGTCATTGTGATATGAAGATATTTTATTTGAGTAATGTAGGTGTAACTGTACCTTAATCTCAGTTCCAATTGGTTCCTTAATATGCAAATAAATGAAAAAGTGTCAGATTTGGAAAATGTTATGTTTTAAAAAGAAGAATGTTCATTTTATGCATATTACATGAAGCCAAGGGGAATTCCCATCAGAACATTCTCAAATATAAAGCAGTCATTTATATATATTCAAAGTCACTGATGAAGAGCGCACTTGGAAATTGTGCAGTTATTTTAATGTCCTTTTTGTTCAAGCTATATACACCCAATGCTATTTGTTTTGTGTCATGATGTACACAAAGAGGCTTGTGAAACTGATCTTCAGTCTTCAAATGAATTCATAAGCAGTCTTATCTTTTCATATTACATGAAATTCCACATTGCACCACTATTGGTGTGTGATTAAAGATTTGGTTATTTTAAATTTGGTTGTGTTAGTTAAATTCAACTATTCAGTAACACCAACAGTACCTGAGTTCGGTGGCTGTTTATCGTGGTATCAGTCTGTCCAGACTGTGTATTGAGGCTTCCTGAAGCTGAAGTGTTTGTAGACAATCACCCCTGGAGAGAACAAATCTAATTTGTTACATGCCAAGACAGATTGGTATCGTGGGTCTTCCCAAAATGTTGCTGCCATCGAGGTGTACTGATAACCTCCCAGACCACATGACCAGCAATTGAATGAGGTGGCCTTTTATTGATGTTCCTTGATTATGTTCTAAACATGGTAAGAGGTTATTGTAAAGTGTCTCAAGAAATCATGAAAGGTGGCGTATACGATACTTATACATTTCAGGACTAGAATTTTGCCCACTGCCTGTGGTATTTGTCAATTTTTTTTGAGACTCAGAAATAGGAAGAAAATATTACTTTTATTTAAAAGAAATTGCCTTACTTTTAAGGTGCTTACTTTTAAAACTTAATTTGTCAGTGAGGCCACATAAGTCTATTATAAAATTAAGACACTATTCTGAATTATCTACAGTAGTTTAAAATATTGTCTTAGTTGGTGTGAAACACTGAATAAGGCAAAGGCTACATATTTCCATCGCCCGCTACGATAAAACTAGTCAAAATACCTTGTAAATAACTTTGAATTGTTGAGGAGCTATGAAGCCTGAAGTTCTGTTTGCATCCTATTTTATAGGAGGACTCTTTTGGTCAGATTTTGTTTCTGACATCTTTATCAATACGCAGTAAGAACTGGCATTTTTCTCAAAATGTCAAGATTGATGTAAAATGGCCTAGATTCTAGTTTGTTACATATAGCCGTTCTCTTTTCATGCACTGCTAAAGAGTCACGGAACACTGAAAATTGTGGAGCTAATCTCTGCCAGCCATTTCTGTAGTAAACTGTGCTGGATCCAGATTTCAGAGCACAACAAGAAGCAGGATTCTTTGGAGGCTCTTTGTGTGATCAACATCCCTGAAGCCAAAAATTTGAACCACAAATCAGTTTGTACTCTGCCAAAAGTACTAATATATACATATGATTAATATCCCTTAGCTACTGGTCAACAATGTTTTGGTGCTGTTTGGGAACATGAAACTAGAGAATGGAAACACTTCTCCAGTCGCGTGAAACAGCATTGTCTCTTCTGTATTGGTTTTGAGTTTAAAATATGGAATTTGGAGTTGGTGGGGGGTGGGATAGATGGGGCGCTTTGTTTATGTACTTCAGTCAAAAACCTACTGAGACAAACATTTTCTTTAGGTTGGTATTCATTCAGTTATTTCAAAGTGACTGAAAATTGGCACTGAGAAAAGACAGATTTGTTAAGATACAAGCTCAGCTACAGTTATCTAGATCATGTTAGGTTTTCGACTAGGTTGAATTTTTTTTGCAAACAGCCTTGGTATTAAAATGCTAAAGGATTTTTCTTGGGATTAAACAGGATAGAGGCAATTTGCATGTGCTACTTGTAAAAATGTATAATCTTGTAGAACTACCTTCAATAACTGGTTTTGCTAGACACCATCGCTGCATTCCTTTGTATAAGTTCTATTTCCTTCCAGTCTAGTTACAACACCTGTGCTGAAACAGGATTTTTTTGTCTTTCAGTATTTGAGGTCATAGAATGTCCAAAGCTTTTTTGGCAACATCAGTGAGAAGTTTAATCCCTTGATTTTGAATCCCTCCCAGCGATGTCTTGCTTTTATGAGCTTGGTATTAAGCATTAAGTAAATCAGTCCTATTAATAAAGCTTATGCTCTTCTTTCTAGTTTTATACTTGTGAATGTGATTTGTTAAAAAAGAAAAGCATTTTAAAATGTGCTTTCATTAAAGGCTGTAGTGTTATATGACTTGAATTTATAGATAATTAAGGAGTCCATTATGGTAGATCCTAACAAATTTTACATCTTGATGGGGTGTCTATTACCAGAAATATTGATGACATTCTTTAAAAACATTTTTATAGTTTAAGTAATGATGTAGCCCTAGAAAGGGGGGCTTATTAACCATATCTGAACTCCCAAGGAATGCATCATGCATACATTTTGTACTGTTATCACATGACCTGGAACATATTTCATATTAATAGTTAATAACTAAATGATTCACCGTTTGTCTTAAGAGTAACCTGACAGCCATCCATTAAGAGGTTGCAGTGATTCATTTCTGTAGACATAAGATGGGTACTATGCCTAGAGACATAAATATGCCGTAAACTGATTGTATTACCATTCTTAATGTTAAATATTTTTTTCAAAAAACTATAAATCAATGTCAAAATAGATCTTCATATCTGGTTTCAGTAAAAGACTGTAAAACCTCGAATATCAGGATGATCAAGTGTATAATCGTGGTTTGGAAGTTTTGTACATGGAACTATGAAAACAAGATCTTAATTATTCATACCAATAGGCCAGGTCATCATACTTCAAAATCTGCAGCAATTTCAAAGGTGTTGGCATTGGAATTTAAACCCCTTTGATGACAAGTATGCATCTTATCAAGTTTATGCTGGTCTCTTCTGCTGAAATAAATATAGAGGCATCTGTGTAAAAGTATCTGGAAACCTGATTAATACAATGTTTTAAAGCGGAGCAAAACAATAATACCAGTGCATCTTTTTTAACCCATTATATGTTTAGTGTTTGACAGCTATTGCTATTGGCTGTAGTATATTTAATTTAAAAGCTTGCAAGGTCTTTGGGGGAAAAAAAAACAACGACAACAATTGTGACGATGCTGCACAGAGCTGGGTGATGCAAAGGGAATTTAAAGTCTGAGCTGACAAGACCCCAGGCATGAGATTATGTAGATCTTGACAATTTGTTTTAGGCAAGGAAAAAAAAAAACTGTTAAGGAAGTGTTGCCAGCAGCCATATCCCTCTAGACCTTACAACTGGCAACCCACTGAAGCTAAGCAGGTTAGCTAGTGAGTGAGCCTGGATGGGAGTCCTCCTGGGAAAAACTATGGGTTGCTGCTGGAAGTGGTGTTTGTGTGGCCAGTAGGGGACGCTCACCCTGCGGTCTGTGTGGGTCCTAACGCCCCAGTATAGTGATGAGGACACTGTACTGTAAAAGCGCTGTCCTCTGGATGAGACGTAAAACTGAGGTCCTGACTCTTTGTGGTCATTACAAATACCTGGGCATTTCTTGAAAAGAGTAGGGGTGTAACCCTGGCGCCATGGCCAAATTCCCCATTGGCCTTTAGCAATCATGGCCTCCTAATAATCCCCATCTGTGAATTGGCTTCATCACTCTGTTCTGCTCCCCACTACTAGCTGGTGTGTGGTGACTGTACTGGTGCACTATGGCTGCCGTCACATCCTCCAGGTGGGTTGCACATTGGTGGTGGTGGAGTGGAGTCTCCATTACTTGTAAACCACTTTGAGTGGAGAGTCCTGAAATTTAAGTGTAAGGAATTATTAAGGAAAATGTGAGCTAGGGGCAGGAACGCAGTTTTAATTTTCAGACAAATCTTGCAGACCTAATTAGGATCTAATGCAGCTGTTAGGCCAAAAGTGTCCATAAATGATCATGAACAACGTAAACCTGTTTACATGTTTCACTGTTGGGACAAAACTTCCATTTGGCAGCTTTGTGATTTCTCAGTTATTCAGCAGGATGCTCTGCCAAGCTGCTTTTGCATTTGGTTTTCTGTAAATTACGGTTGGATTACTTTAGTGCTTCGTTAAATGCAGGTTTTTCCAGTCCCAGCTGTCACGCTTCCAGGTGCTTGCATTTTGAGGTGTTGAATTCTTGCATAAAATACATAAACTAGAAAGATATTACATATGTCATTCTTTTTTTCTTTTAATACCTTACAGTGTGCAGTAGATCAGGGGTTTCAGAGTGTAGAGAAATAGAGTTGTGGGAAATATTCTTAATTATGTGTTGTGTATCGTGTGACTGCTGTCTTTACATTTTTTCATATTGGAATTATTACTCATTATCATTAAAAGAGTTACTAACGCATTTTATTTTTCCCTAGGATCCTAAGCAATAATAAAATTCAGGAATTGAGGAATGGCTCGTTTGTTGGTCTCTCAGCACTGGAAAGACTGTAAGTACACATTTATTTCACTTATTTGGAAAAGGTTCTCTTGTCAGGTGGTCTGTACAATAAGAATTAAAACTATGATTTGCAAACACTGGATATGTTGGGGTTTGCAAAACAACCTGATTTGCCAGATTCCCTCATATATCTTTTGAACATTAGGCTTGGCTGGAGTGGCCGCTACCGGTATAGGTAGCTCTGCACACTGCATCGTTCGTTTTATAAGGGGACAGGGGAATGGAAGGGTTCCATTTTTTTACAAAAAGTAAGAAATTTTACTTAAATGACCAATCACCAAAAACTTCCTTTTAAATGAAGGACTGGAGGATTGTCATTTTCTTACTGTATTGTCTTATCTGTTTGCTTCCTTCGGGCTGTTTTATATTTTCACAAATGAGTCATTTGCGCTGACTCAGAAACTCTGAAAATTGAATTCAAATTTTCTGGGGGGTTGTTGAATGAAACATGTGGCAGTTTATTCGATAGAAATAGTGTTTATTTGTACAGTTCAGTGGCCCTTATGAGTTCCTCAGACATTGGGGAAAACATTAATTGTGTTTTGTAAGTTAAATGCCACATTATAGACTTGTTAGACCTATCCTGATCTAAAGTGAATTTACTAAATGAATGTAATATGCTGGTACTTGGCTTAGTTTTCTAATTATTCCCTGAAAAATCCTCTAGAACTTTAAACCTTATGTGGGCTTTGTCATGTGAACTAACGTTCGTTAGAGATTAAGGAGAGACCGATGACAAAATGTACTTGTGATCTAAGCGTGATTCAGAAGCATTGGCTCCTATGCCACTCAGAAAACAGTAGAATCGAATTTTTGTATTTAAAGGGAAGTGTACACTTTAAAACAATGATCTTTTTCTTTACCAACAAAAGCATACCTTTGTATGAGGCACTTGGACTTGGACTTAAGTAGTTTTGATTAAGTGGATTTTATAAGTTTTATAGTCTGTCCTATAATGAGATGCAACACTTGCACATGGTCTACTACTGGATTGGTTACCAGTTTAAAGACTCCCGGTGTTGTATGCATTTACTGTCTTGTGAAAACTGCAATAATATGTAGGTGATGGGGGGAGGGGTTAAGGAAAGAGATTGAAAGAAGTTATTGTTCATACTAGAAAGTGAAATGCTTGGCTGCTGGGTTTGAAATATTGGTTATGTTTCTTTTGAGATTTGAAGGAAATACTTCATGCATGTGCCTGTGGATTTGCTTGATTTATTGCTCTTGAATTGGTTCACGCAGATAAAATAACCAGAGCACTAATAGCCCACTTTTACAGAGACGTAGAATAACAGATGATTACATAAATGTGGAATTTGAAGGAGATTTTTCCGTGTAGTTATTTCAGATCTTTCTTAAAACGGTCCAGAAGATTTTGAACATTTACAGAGCTGTATTTCCCTGGGTCGTTTTACTGTAATTGCCTATTCATCAGGGGACTTGGAATATAAGTGGCACTGTGATGGAGAAAGGAAACTTTCGTTACAATGGCTTATAAGATCACTGTTACCTGTACAAGGAAAATTACTTTTCCATTCTTTTACCATACATAGTCAGACCCTTTTTCCTTCCACTTGACTAGTTTATTGCACATGAAGTGTTCCAGTGAAATAATATGGAATTTATACAAGGTGAACCCTTGCCAAAAAAGTGGTATTACTGGAAAATGTCTTATGAAAATACTTTTCATGCAATGATTCCACTCCTGTACTGTAGAGATGTCACAGGTAACAAATGTGATGTATAGTCTTGCCTCTATAAATATTCCAAAGTGTCTGACCTCTAGCTTTCAAACCATCTATCAAGACAACAGCAATTAATATCATATCAGATTCCTGCAGAGAAGACTTTTGCTGGCAAGTGATCAAATCCCGTATGCTCAAGCATGCTTATACTCAAATCCAGAGAGTTATATTTCATAAGGGACTGTGAGGATCAAAGATGGCAGTTTAAACAGTTCTTTTTTACAGTAAGAATAAGGAAGTTCTGGTTTTAACTCAATATAATATTAATAATAATAATTGCTTACAGTTATATAGCGCTTTTCTGGACACTCCACTCAAAGTGCTTTACAGGTAATGGGGACTCCCCTCCACCACCACCAATGTGCAGCATCCACCTGGATGATGCGACGGCAGCCATAGTGCGCCAGAACGCTCACCACACATCAGCTATCAGTGGGGAGGAGAGCAGAGTAATTAAGCCAATTTATAGAGGGGGATTGTCAGGAGGCCATGATTGATAAAGGCCGATGGGAAATTTGGCCAGGATGCCGGGGTACACTTAAATATCTCCATTTAAGAAATGTGTATGTAACTTTAACTGCACTTTATACATGAACATTTGTTATGGAAGCTTCTGAATATAATGCACCCCAAGTCATTTGATTTAGGATGCTTATATATATCCATAAATTACAATAAATATTTAAATGCGTTACTAGAATGTGGTCAGTATTTGTTTTGATTATTAAATGACAGCTACTGTAGAATTATAAACAGAACTGCAATAGATGTACACCTCTCCTTACAGTTTGCTGTTATCAATTCAGCACTAAATCACTCTAATTGAACACCAATTCATTCTTCAATCTTAATAAAACAACATGTTGGTAGCTCTTTTTAGACTGCAGCAGCTTGGTTCACCCCAATTGAGTTGAGCTCCAGCAGGGTATCTAACTGGTGGTTAGCATTTAGGATCAGGATGATATTTAATGCAGTCTCTTGAGTGTCTGGGAAAGAAAATTGACAAATTGTATTAAATTGGGTGAAACTGTCCTCTTAAATGTGGTATACTGATTTGTTTAAGAAATACTTATTCTTAAGTTTATTCCATAAAGGAAATTCTCAGTCACAGTAAACTATTTTAGACAGCTGTTTTTGCTTTTGTTTATTGTTACAATGTCTTTAAAACCAATAGTATTTCTCTTTTCTGTAGTATGCAGAAACTAAGCAGCAGTTACTCTTTACTAGCGATTGTGTTTCCTAAGAATATTACTTTCATTGAGATTTATGTAAAAAAAAAGATCTTGATTATTTAATCTAGAAATCTGGCTGTCATTATATGGGTGAAAATTTCATTTTTTTGTGCATTTGGCAAGTCATTTTAAGAAAATGATTTTTGGTTCCCGATATAAAAATAGCCCAGAGCATTTTTAAATTTCACTCTTCATACATCTGGTTACGCCAGCTAACACTAAACCTGCAGGTATAAATGAAAGCCTTCTGAAAACAGACTTTGTTGCTATGTTTATGTATCATAACGTCTCAGTAATATAATAACATGTTAAAAGGAATTAGAGGTCACATGCTGATTGAAAGATGTGACTTGTCTACATTTGCTGTCTTGGCGAGAACAGCTTCTTTTAACAAGTCTTACATACGTAGGAAACAGTCAAGAAGGAACCAAAAGAGTTCGGTGTTTTAAAATGAACCTCTGCGTTGATACTTCAGATACAAAGAGCGTTGTGTCCGAAGGTAGGGGGCTCAAGCTGTAGGGAATCAGTGGGTCATGTATCATACTTTTACTGATATGTAACCACAGATAAAGTTCCTTAGCTGGAAAATGTGCCCTTGCCTCCACAACTAAGTAGCAGGCACTTCTTTGTCATTTTAATGAGTTTGCCTGAGCCCAACAGTGTCCCTCTCTGGATGCCAGGATAGCCACTCTTAAAACTCTCACTCCTGTTTTCTTTGGATGAACGTTTTCTCCACCAGCGATGCTCTGAAAGGAATTCCCCATCTTTCTCCTTCAGTAGCTGCAGAGAACCGCTTTGGAAATGATAGTCATAAAGCATCTTGAGTGGCAACCAGAGAAAATCAATTACAATGCCTGTGCCATGAAATTGCGCGGCTAGTGTTGGCAACTGAATGATTTGTTAAGTTTAAAAAGGCATCTCCTTTGGAAATTAAAGCTCCAAGTTTCTTTTGTTAGCTTATTATAGAAATATGACTCTAATCCGGATTGCATGACGGGTTACTTCTTAAAAACCATAACTGTGTAAAGCACCCTGCAGCAAATGGGAAAGAATGCTATGTCTTGAACCACAAAGACCATTGAATGGAAGGGACGCTGAAAACTATTGTGTGCTTAAAATGTGGGAAAGGACTTCAGTACAAGGCAGAATACATTTGTAGTATGAAGGTGGTTTGTTCTGATTATGTATTTTATTTCAAACACTCCCATACTTCAGAATCAACTTTTAAGATGACATCCTGTGGAAAATATATAAAGTGACATCAAAGGTGATATGATTAAGTATGAAAATTGAAACGCGAAATTCACGTTTACGGTTGAGTGTTTAAATTAAGAGGCAAAATTATTTAACAGAAATCACAATTTTATATCTCCCTTCTCTCGTTTAGAATGATGATCGTACCCAGTATTGTTTTCCTGCCATGAACATTAAATAGTTGTTTGAGTTGTCTTGGGAAAACGCTTATTTTATAAGCACTATCGCACTTATTCACTTGCAGTCTGGACCAAAGTTTCCATTCATCTAAGTGTGGTATCCCAGTTTGTTCAGGTGATAGCGTTGTAGCAGTTTGTTTTTCTATGTTCGAAAATCAATGTTATAACAGTACATTATTTGAGCATATGAAAATCCATAAATTAAAAAATAAGGTAACAAAGAAAAGTGCTACATAGAAACAAGTTTCTGCCATTTTTAGTGGTTTTGCATATTACAGTTATGATGCAGATCTTCCAGCTAAGTCTGTTTTTTATTGTAGTTTTTGTAATACCTTGCATTTATTTTGATAGTGATCTAAAGGAAAGTAGGTTAAGTTCTAATTAAAGGGGACTTTTAATATGCCTTTTAAAATTGTCAAACTTGACACAGTAATAGAATTTGTGTACAGTCTGAGCCTCAAGCAGAACAATTTGTGTATCATTTGCAAACTTTACAGGTTAACCTATGTTGAGTTTGCAAATAATAAACTATGTTGCCTACACTTTTATATGTTTCCAAATTTATAATGTTCCCTGAAAATAAGTTGTGCGAGAAGCTCTTGGTGTCATGTTTCATCCAAAGATGTTAACGTTTAAGCCTCATTACTATTTCTGAAACTCATTCTTTTTGCTTTAATGCAAGCGAAGCAACTTGCTCGTTATTAAAATACAGTGAAGAATTGTGGAAACCTGTTATTAAAATTAAAATTTCTGGGGTGTCAGAATTTGATTACCAGTAACATACCTGCTGTGGAAAAACGAGTCTAAAAGTTTGGGCTTTCTTTGTCAGCAGAAAAAAATTTGTGGTTTTAGGACCTAATAGGGTTTGAAACAGTAACGTGAAAAGAGGTGAAGTAGCAGAAACTTTTTGTCAGTCGCTTTTTGTCATTCATCTATTGTTTATTAGACAAGGGTTTCAAGCTTTGAAAATCTTCAGCATTTGTGGAACTTTAATTGCAGGATGTTTTTTTTTTCCATTTGTATGTAGCTCATTTAAAGTAATTTATGGATCTTTTTTTATTAAAATGTAATTTGAGCTTGGACTGCTGTGATTCTTCTTGGTTATAACAGCACACATTTGGCCCGACTTGGAATTATCTAAACCTCCGTGAGGCTCTTCTGGTTGTTTGAAATATTTGATACTTCAGCTGAATAAGAGCCTTGCCTCTGGTGTCTGTTCACTCTAATCATGGAGCAATTTTTGCTGCCTCCTTAACTAGAATGTAAGTTCATATCAATGTGTAAGTCATTCACCATTTTGACTATTGAGAATTGACAACCCCTTTTAAACTGTTTCAACTGTTTACCATATTCATATAAAACATGTTTTTGCAGTTGGCTTCAGCTTTGTTTGCAGCTAGTTGTAAACACTCAAATCTGATTTATTTGTAAAGTTCTTTTGGTTTTCTTTCTCTGTCTCGTAGTACTCAGACTGTGATCCACAGCAGCCTCTTGTGTTGGAAGACAGACTTCCTTTCAGAGCAGGCTCTGAAACACAGCATTTTTAGCTACATAGTTGGTGTACTTAATTACATCAATGTAATACTTCTAACAAGGCTTTGAGGTGATGTATTGATAATGGTACCTTCGATTTAGGGAATATTTTGAGTATAAAGGAAAGGAAACCTTTAAAAAATACTATAAATATAAGAAAACAATTAAGTTACTCGGGTTGGTGCAAAAACCAAAAGATGAAAGTCTCTCTAGGTATTGGGTTTTCTTTAATATCACCAATGAGATGCTACGTTCTAAACTCTCGCAGTGCCGCATTTCATTGTGGACAAAATAAACATTTCTGTCCATAATCTCAATTGAGACCATTAGTGCAATTTATAGCACCGATCCTTTTTGGATAATATCAGTAGGAAAACAAAAACACATTTTATACATTGTATCTTTTTGTAACTCAAGTGAAAATAATTATAATAACTTTGTTGAATTATTTTTGATAATATTGTATTATACAGACTTAAGAGATCAGTTGTTCTTGTGAAACCTCAAATTGGGACACTGAAGAAAATTGTTTTATGGGGACTGAACTTGTTTAAAAGAAGTACAGAATAAAGTGAGTTTGTGACCTGCTCACACTCTTCTTAGCTGTTTTTGTGAGTTGTAGTGTGATAAATGTAGGAGGCACTCGTATCTAATAAGGTGTTGTGGTAAGAAAATATCTGGCTGTGTTTACTGACTTCTGGAGTAAAGACTTGCCTTCCTTTTGTTTTCTCTAGATAATGCATTTAATGCAGTTGCAGTATTTTACATATCTCCTCAATTCATATTTTTAATTATTCCTTTTTGTGCAGTATATAATAGTGAAGAAATGGCAGCTTTTTATCCACACACAGACAAAAGTGAAGCAATTTTTTCTTGTTCAAAATCTGGGTCTGACAATAAATGAATTGGGGTATGTTTCCTGGTCCAGCTGCCCAACTGTGGTTACTTCCTTTGGTGAACTTTACCTATAGCCAGAGCTAGTAAATCTGATGTGTTGCCTGTCAGAGTAAATTCACTAAACACTGTAAGATCTTATTTTCACAGTGGCCCCCTTATATCTTAGGTATGCATCACTGATCATTCCTGTCAAGCATATAAATGATATACGAGACTTTTTGTGTTTCCTTTTCACAGGTGGTCCATTAAGCTGGGCATTTGTCATGTCAAATAGTTTAATCTAAACCTTGAACTACATTGTTCAAAGACATTTTACAAAAAAAATCCTAGGGTTTTTGAGATAACACTGAAATAGCTATACAACAATGTTCGTGTTTATGTATATGAAATCAAGCAGGTGTTCATAAAAATTGGAGAGGATAGTTGCAGAAGTGTCAAGACATCTAATTTTGTTGATGCCTCACATGCAGTTCATTTAACATGGCAAGATTGACCGACAATTCATACAAAGACATGACAATTTAAACGATACATTAGTGATATGGCTAAAAAGGTAATATTTTGTGTAACCATTCTTTTGAAATTAAGTTCTGTTTCATGTATATACTGTATGCCTGTTTACTGCAATCAAGATAATTCTGTTTTATTGAAATATATCACTGGTGGGAATATAAAATGTGAAGATATGGCACAATCTACTTCTTTTTATTTTGTTTACAGGGATCTGAGAAACAACATAATAAGTCACATAGAGCCGGGAGCTTTTCTGGGACTGCAGGCTCTCAAGAGACTGTAAGTAGTTTTCTGTTTTTACTTTCCTGTTGAGTACGAAGACTGTATTAATGCATCTCTACACTTACATTAAGAAGGAAATATGTTGGATTTTTTATACTTTTTAATGGATCAGAATTCAGCACTGTTCAACGTGTGTACATCATATAAACGTTCAACAGTAAACCTTTTGTAATAAATGTATCTCTCAATCTCACTCTTACACAATTTTCTAGGTATTTGGCGTTTGTTTTAAATCCTTGTATAGGTAACTTTGATACCCAATTTGCGTAATGGATATCCAAGATGAGGGGTTGACGCATTGATTAGCATTGCTGCAATTCCAGGGGTGACATCTGTGTGGAGTCTGTATTTTCTCCACATGTTCATGTGGATTAATTTGGGATTAACTCGGGGTGCTCCGTTTTCCTTCCACAGTCCAAAGACATGCTGGTGCATTAATTGGCTTCTGGGATAACTAGCCCTGGTGTGAGTGTATGCGTGTTTGTCTGTGTGTGCCCTGCGAATGAATGGCACCCTGTCCAGGGTGAATCCACCTTGTGCCTGTTGCTTGCCGGGATAGGCTCCAGCTCCCCTACAGCCCTGAATTGGATAAAGAACTTAGTAAAAGGATGGATAAATATGTTCGATTTTTTAAGAATTAGGTTTCAGTAAACTTAAGGTAGTTAAAAGATTGACTTCCAAATATAAGAACTGCATAGTGTAAATAGTTTTTTGAATACGAATCAAAAATTTGTATTCAACAGGGTATATTACCTCTTTGCTGGCCCTGATGGTGAATGAATAAGGTGTGGTTTTAGTGCTTTAGAAAAACATTAGAATTACCCGTTTCTGTCGCTGTGTGGCCACAAACAAAAGAATGTGAGTTGAAATTTCTTTATTTACAGGAAAGGAAAACCATCTTTTATTTACTTAAGCTGAAGATCCATAAACCCATCATTACACTATTGATTTAATGTATATTATTGTGTGCTGTTTTTTGGCATTTCAATCGCTAGTTCAATAGCTCAGTGCTACTCACTTTAACCTGATGTTTCCTTTTTTTGCATGTATTAGTTTTTAATGTAGTCTTTCTGCATAATTTATTTCAAATGAAATGTTATTGTTTTTCTTTTGATACTGCCAGTGGCTTGGCTACCCCTATGAAAATCACAAGGTCTTTAAGTACATGCGGGTTGAGACCATCAATGTAACTTATAGCTCTGATCCTTTTTGGCAGTAGTTTGATTAGTGTATAATTTACAACTACTATGATAAATGGCCAGTGCAGTTTACAACATGTAAGTATATGCCAACAAATTATATGTTTTTCACCTTGTTTGTTCTTCATAGTGTATGGTCCCTTGATGAAAGTTTTTTTTATGTTTGATGCGGTTACAGAGTCACTAATTATTGATTCCTTAAGGCCAGAAATATCTCATTGAGCTGTTGAGGCAATGCCAGCTCTGATTTAGATTGGCTTCTATTTTAACAGACGGTTCTATTTAGCATTGTCTAGATGTTAAATACACTGCTTTATTTTATTGGCTCCATAGATTGTAACATGTCTGAAAGCAGTTGTTGAAATGTAACTGCATATCCCATGTGCCTTCCAACTCTTCTGAGAGCAGCCGGCCTAATTGTGTATGATATGTATTTTTCTGTCTTAAACAGTTTGGGTTACATGTATAGGAGGGGAAAAGATCTGCCTGTGTTGAAAGCATCTGATTCTGAATTTTTTTTTCTGCCAATGTAGAAAAGAATTTCTGAGCTGCCTTGAAGACACTTTGCAGGTTTCTGTGTGTTGATAGTTGTAATAGTGGGTTAAGAAAGAGGGCTTTCTCATAAATATGGAGAACCATGGCTTTCAGATTCAAAATCAAATTGAGCACTTTTTTTTTACTTCCATGTGCTATTCAACCTAACCTTTGGCGGCACTTCTGCACTGCTTGTGTCTGCAAGTTGTGTTGTAAAGTCTATTCCTCATTATTTGCTGCACCTTCTCAGCGAGAAATGAGTGAATTTGGGCTCCTTCCATCTGGTTGTCGATTTAGACTACTTAGTTTCAAATGCAATAAAACTAAGTTATATGTTAATCCCACAGCTATTAACCTGCTTAATTTAGATAATCGATTGTATGGTTTGCTTTAGATATTTTAATTTCTCACCATACATGTATGTCTCTTATTTGTTAACAGGTTCATGTAGTGTTAAATGTATTGTGTATGTTGTTACGTCTTTACCTGCCTGCAAAGCAAATTTCCGATTAGGGACAAGAAATGGAAGCAAGAGTTCAGGGTAAATTTTACTTCCTCGGAATCTTGCTTTGAAATTCTTAAAATAGAAGAATTCTGTTCTAAGAGAAAGCTATTGTTTTTTACTAGTTACTACTATGGAAAGAAACCAGAGTCTTAGCTTTAGCCTAAGAGGTTTCTGCCTGCTTGTTCTCTCAGGTATTTCTTTAGACTTCGAGAAAAATTTTAAGCAGATACTATATTTGTGTCTTCACCAGAATCAATGTATAGAGGGCACAAATGCAACAGTGTCTGGGAGACTGGTCTTGATCTAGGCATAGACAATCTAATACAGCTGCCCAGGCAAAACATTAATATTTGTCTTAAAAGTAAAATTACTAGTTGACTTTTATCACAGTATTTTTTTAAAATGTCGGAGCGCTGTATGTGAGTACAGGTTTGCTCATGTTGACTTATCTTGTATTGAAGGGGTTTGAGTGAAGTGACTGATGCACACATCTTGATTGTGGAGTTGGGAGCCAGTGAGTTTTTTAGAACATTACGCACTGTGAAAGCATGCTATCAATGTAGATCTACTTTCTGTGCTAGGATAGTCGTCCTGTATCTGCTCATGAAGACCAATCTTTCTCCAGTAGGAAGGCTAGAACAAAGCACAGCAATATTACTGAGGAGAAGTAATGGAGCAGATGATATTTGATCTAAATCTCGTGGTAAATTTAAAATTGATTTTAAACCATAGCAGGTGCTGTGGTACTGATATTGGAGGAAAGCCCAATTGTTAATTGGAGGACTTGGTGGGGAGGGTGTTACAGTGTTTAATGTCGCTGGTAGCATTCTCACAAAGAATTACAGTGTACTGTTCTCTTTTTCGTCTGTGATTTTTCCCATCTGTTTCTACCATTTTTTTTAAAGAGCTCAATTAGATTTGTCTTGGTTTGACACGCAAAGCTTTTGCTAAACTATGGCTCCCTTCATTTAGCTTTCAAAGAAAAGCGTTCTCACTTTCTTAAGTCATTTCTCTCCTAGAGGCACTTTTATTTACAAAAAACGTTCCCCCGTGAAGCAGTTGTCCTAAGCTGTTGTGACACACGTTACCTTTCATATTATCCGATTACATTTTTTTTCTCTTGCAAATGTGAATAGCCTGATTCATTATTTTGCCTGGTTTCTGCCACCCATGCTTGAGCCAGAGAGCTTGAATAGGAAGCAGAGATTTCCATATACAGTAGTATCATCTAGTCAGAAATTTCATTGTGTGTGCTGGCTCAGGGCTTGTCATGAACATCAGGTTGTTAAGAATTACTTCTTTGTGTTGAATGGTACGCTCAAGAAGGAAGAGATTAAATATGCCCCCAGGTGTCAACATTTTTTATTTCCTTCTATAGGCTCATAATCTCTAAACTGAAGACATTTATAGCTACCTGGTATAACTGAGTGCCAACTGACCCACCTGGCTCTCTTCTTCCTTGGTGTGCTGCTTAACAGTACTTTAAATCAGTGTCTGAAAGCCTAATTTATTAAAAATCCTATGAGTAAACTGAATGTGGTTTTTGCTCTTTTATTGTGTAGGTGTGCACCAGTACCTCGAAGCTAAGCAAGTTCTAAGGCTTATTCTAACGAAGGGATAATTCTTCCTTGACACGCATCTCAAAAAAGACTTTTTTATGAAGGTTGCAGAATACATAACTAGACACAGCTCTATAAAGTTCTTAATTGTTACAAGAGAATAAAACCAACTGTTTACAGTTAGTACACGAACAAGGAAATTGTTGTAAGAATCCCTCCTCCCTCTTACAAATGCTGGGGGCACAAAAATGTACCTCACGACACAAAAATGAAAGAATGAACAGTGATATAACTATCTAGCCATTTGACGATTAGGAAGAAATAAGTCAATTACTTCAATTAATTTTGATAGTGTATTTAAGTTTGAATACTCCAGATGTATCACGGAGATCTTAGAATATTTCTTAAATCGGTTATCCACTATTATGGAATTTAAAACTGGGTTCTTATACTGCTATGGGATTTTTAAGAAGTGAGCAGGATAAATGACTTAATTCTCACAGTGTATTGGTGTAAACCCTGTTAAATGTGTGTGTGTGTGAAGTGTACAATGTAAATTTAGTAATAAAGTAAGTGTTAAAAACAATTTTAGTTAACTAAATACATGAAGACCTTTACCTTCAAGCTAAAAGGAGAGTTGACAATTTGCAAGAATGCACAGCAGTCCGGTTCTGGCTATTCGAAGTTAATGGCTTATGTTCAGTAAAGGAATTTTTTACTCCTGCCTGCTGTATCAAATTTCCAGGGAAAGATTAAGGCTGTCTTATTGTGCCATCATTTATCTAAAAATGCTCGGTTTTAATGGAGAAATGTGCCCCTAGTGCAAAGAAAATATTTTTTCCTCAAACCTTAGTTTTCTCTTAAGTATGAAGCTGATAAACACTGATAATCACTGGAATAGGTAGGGTAACAGAACGAGATTAAATAAGGCAATGTAAAAGAGAAATGCTAATTATGATGGAATTGATGGAATTTACTTTTAAAATGAGCTTGACAAGAAATATTGATGATGATTTTTAGCATTTCTTCTAGGACATGTTTTAAGTTCTGCAGTAACTTTACAATTGATGTCAGTTTTTGATTTTTACCAATGCTATGTTTTTCTTTTCCCTCCGATCATAGCGACTTGTCTAATAACAGAATTGGCTGCCTGAATGTGGATATTTTTAAAGGCCTCCAGAGTCTTGTTAGACTGTAAGTACTATATATTCCTCTAAATTATAATAAGCTGCCATGCACAGTGAAGCAAACTACTTGAAAACTCCCTTTGCAATTTAATTGTAGAAGCTACAGGCTCTTGGTAATCCAGCATTTTGTGTATTTGAAGCTGACATACTATGAGTAAAAGTAATTTAAGAATGGGGTAATATTTTGAATGCTTATCTCTGCAAGCATTTTCTGTTAGGGCTTGGTTCTTATTTGTAAATATTTTTAGGACATTAATACTATACTTTCAGTGATTAAATGAAGACCTTTATTTTTAACAATGTTTAATTTTTATGTAAACCATGTTGTGAACATATTGCTAATTAACCCCCGTAAGATGCAAAAATTTATTTTTTTAATGGATCCGAAGTTAATCTGTATTGCATTTGTCATTGCCTTTCAGGGATTGCCATTATTATTTGCTATCCAGTTTTTTAAGAGTAATTCTCTAACCAATACTTAAACATTGTCCATCCAGCAGCTGCGGGGTTCACATTTATGCACTTCACCTCCCTGATAGATAAATAATGACCTTACATTTCTATGAAGGAAGAAAAATAAAAATCGAACAAATATTGTAACAGCTGAGTTGATCAATTTTCTCCTCAAATAATTGCAAAGACTAAGTCTTCAATTTGTTGAAACAAAATCATGCTTCAAAATATTTTTAAACAAATACAATACAAATACAAATTGCTGTTATGTGCAATATAGGTTTATGTAGAAATAACTTCAAAGAAAATCATCATGGGTTAATTTTTTTTTTTGCTTTTATTACCTTGCAGAAATCTTTCAGGGAACATATTTTCTTCTCTGTCTCAAGGCATCTTTGACAGTCTTGACTCCTTGAAAACCCTGTAAGTATAGGTTTTAATCTTTTGTTTTTTTGTGGGTGTTCTGCTCAGTTAGGATAGATCTACTCTATGCTGGATGAAGGTGAATATTCCCAAACCCTTGTATGTAAAGTGGATGCGAAAGCTTCTAAAGCACAACTAATCCTCCATAGAAATTAACAACTTCCTTCTCAAAGCTTAGTATTAGTTTTAATTTGACATCAGTATGGTCCTGGAGTGCTCAATCATTCTCCATTCTTGTGTACAGTGGCTATCAAAAGCATTCACCTCCCCTTGGATTTTTTTTTGTTCATTTTGTGGTGTTACAGTATGGAATCATAATGTATCTAACTGGGAGTTTTTGCCATTGAATGACAGAAAACACTGTATAATGTCGTAGTGAAAGCTAAATTCCACAGATCCTACTAAATTAATTATGAATATGGAAAATAATTGCAGAGAGATCCACCACTTTTGAGTCAATATTTGGTAAAGGCTTGTTTGGCAGAAATTACAGCCATGAGTATTCTTGGATGTTTCTGCCGACTTTGCACATTTGGACACTTTTCCAAAATTACGCAGACTCCCTTCAGGATGGATGTGAAAAGTTGGTGAAGCAATTTTGATTTTGGCTTTGCCTGGGCCACTCTGAAACATTGACTTTTTTTTCTTTTTAAACTGCTTCAGTGTGGCTTTGTATGTTTTGGGTCATTATCCTCCTGGAAGACGGATCCTCCCCAAGTCCCATGTCTCTTTTTTTGCTTATCCATATTTGCTTCTATCTTCATAAGTCTTCCCGGCTCTCATGCAGCAAAGCATGCCCATAGCATGATACTGCCATCAACATACTTCACAGTAGGAATGGTGTTCTCAGGATTATGTTAACTGTTACTCTTGAGCTAAACTAAACTGTTGCATGTGTTACTCTTGCACTAAACTCTAAACATCTACTTACCATTGAGGCCAAAAAGGTCAATTTTCTTCTCGTCAGACTATAGAATCTTATTATACTTGGTGTCAGAATATAGTTGAGATTTATATGAGTTTTTGTCACTCTCCCATGAATCCCAGATTTGAGAAGCACACAAGCAATTATCATATGCACACTGCACATCTCAGCCATGGAAGACTGTAATTCCTTTAGAGTTGTTACAGATCTCTTGTTGGCCTCCCTGACTAGTGCTATTCTGGTCTGGATACTCAGTTTTTAAGGACATCTCATTCATCACAGTTTTACAGTTGTGCCATATTTTCTGCACTTCTGTATAATGGACTTCACTGTGCTTTGAGGAATATTTAATTACTTGGAAATGTTCTTAGACCCTTCTCCAAATAGTGCATTTAAATAATGGTCCCTTTGTCTTCGTGATGTAGGTTTTTTTGGGTGCTGTACTTATCAACTGTTGGACCTCGCAGAGATGGGTATATTTATCCTAAACCCATGTTAAATACCCTAATTACACAGAGGTGGACTCCATTCAACACTATGTGACTTCTAAAGACATTTGATTGCACCAGAGCCTATTTAGGTGTAAAAGGGGTTCGGTACTTATGCATTTATATATATAATTAATTTAGGAGGATCTATAGAATTGTCACCTTTGTTTTTATTAGAGTGTGTTTTATGTTGATCAGTGACAAGTAAATACTATACATTGTGATTCTATATCGTAAAACGGTAAAATGTGAAGAGGTCCAAGGGGGTGGATACTTTTGTTAGCCACTGTAGTTTACCTTTCTCTGGGTAATTAGTAACTCTCAGAAAGGTTTCTCTGATAATTCTCAAAACGGTGTTGGCACAAGCATGTATAGGCGTCGATTTGCTTAATTTATATTTTTGTTACAGAGAGTTTCAAACGCCGTACCTTCTTTGTGACTGCAACCTGCTGTGGTTGATACGCTGGATGAAGGAGAAGAATGTCAGCACGCGGGGAACTATATGCTCGTACCCGCGTTCTCTCCAGGGCCAGCTGGTGAATGCTGTCATGCCAGACCGTCTGACATGTGGTGAGAAGCACTTTCAGCATGAGGTCCTGTCTGCTTCCCGCCACTCTGGGGATATCTTGAGCAGAAAAACATCACTGTGTTGAGATTTGTTTTTGAGTGCCTAGTAATAGCGCTATTTTAGATACCATGGCTTTTATTTTATATAGTCATCATAACGTCAAACTGGGGCACTTTCAAAATTTTAATGGTACTAAATCAAATGTTTAAGATTGAGTTCATGGCAGTGGCTCCTGTACTGCACACATCTGTCACAGCCATTCATATTTTGATACACTGCTTGTGCCAGAGTCTCTCAGAGTAAAATTAGATTTGATCGGAGAAGTGGTGTGTGTCTGATGCCATGACCCAGGTCTAAGCCATAGAGCTTACCATGTGCTGAGTTGCCACTTGCAGTTGGTTTGAAATATGGAGTCACATTTCTTTTCTATACTTTAAATGTTATGCTGAATTGGGGAAGAAAAGCTTAAATATATATGTTCTGCATGTACGAAAGTAAATTCAAAAGGCAGTGTTTGAAGATCTTAAGGAATAAGACTGGAGTATTGCCTTATTATGAACCCTAGAAATAGGTACATGTTTTTAATTGCATTATTGCATATTGAAGTTAATACTGTTGTTATTTTTATGGTTTTTATAGATGACATCCATTTTTAAAGTCTTACATAGCTTTTTAATTCATTATATGTTGTGTAAAACCTGATGTGAAATTATATGTTCTGTCCCCCACTAGAAAAACACTGATGCTGTTTTATGAAGTGCTCAGTTAGGCACTTGGAGCCATCGTCACTGACACCTGATTTCGTTTTTTGCAGATGCTCCCCTTGAGCTGCCGTCTTTCCAGATGACACCATCTCATCGTCAAATTGTGTTCAAGGGTGACAGCCTGCCCTTTCAGTGTATGGCTTCCTATATCGATGAGGATATGCAGGTTTTGTGGTATCAGGATGGAAAAATAGTGGAACCTAATGCTTCCCTGGGAATTTTCATTGAAAAGAGGATGGTGCAGAACTGCTCGTTGATTGCAAGGTAGGAGTATAAAGACTTAACCATTTTAATGCACAAGTTCACATGACAAACTGAACTGAACTTCAAGGTTTAAAAAACACCTTCTTTCAAGTGTGGATTATTTTTACCAGTAAGAGTGAAACATTGTGTGTTTATTTTTGTTAGATTAAATCTTAAGTATTTAAAAAGCCAGAATTTAATTGGGATGAAACTTCTCCGTTGTTGTGTAGTGCAAACCAGTGGGAGTGTTACAGATACTAATCCTAGATGGAACTGTAATCCATCTCGGGTGGGAAGTTTTCAGCAATGCTGGGTATCCTTTGATGTTTACCACACTATTCAGGGTACAATTTGGGATTGTTACATCAAACTCCAATCTGGGGACATGAGCCCTCGGTTCTTTACTGCTAATCCATAATTTACCTTTCATAGTAGTCAACTTTGAAAACGTAAAGCAACAAGTAAAGGTCTATTCCGTGCTAAAAAAAGAGAAGAAAAGAAATGCAACATTTTGGCTCTGGAGCTGAGGTGTCACCTGAAAAAGGCTCCAGCTGAAACGTTGCGTTTCTTTTCTTCTATTTTAAGCAAGGAATAAAACTTTACTTTTCCTTAGCAGCCTAGGCATGCTAACACAGCTACCTACTTAAACAACTTTGGAAATGTACTGTGCTTTGTCTGGAAAAGAACATCATAAAGATAAGAAACAAGAGGAGGTAATTAGGCCCACATTGCTCATTTGTTTTTGTGAACATTTCTTGAAGGATTCCAGGAATTGACTTTAACAGCGTTAACACTTTGGACACTTTGTTCCACACCTCTGATATACTTGGCTAGGGAAAGTACTGCTATTAGGTTCGAAAAGTTTGTTTCCTTTTTCCTTTTGGGTTCTGATTTCACTATTGGTCCTTAAGTACCCTGGGTACTAGAGTTAACGTGTTAGTGATTACTTTTATCTTAATTCTTTAAGGCTTCTTTAAAGCTAGCTATAAGTTGTTGCAGTTGTTTGAACTGCTCACAGTAACGCCAATATTTTTTTGTAAATTGGTGACCAAATTGTGCACAGTGTTCTAAATAAAGTCTTACTAATGCATTGTATACCTTCAATATAATTTATCTTTTTTTGAATTCTATGTATTTCACAATATATTCTTTAACTTTGGTTGACCCTTTTTACTCATTCATTTCACTTCATTTTATGGATGAAGACATTGAAGCGGCTTCCTTAAGCTTTCATTAGTGAAATGTAAGAATGTCTTAGTCTTTGTTTTAGATTTATTGCAGAAATGTGCCCCATTAATTCCAGCATTCCGTTGCCAATAAACAAATCTTGAATGCGGTCATTTTCTATATGGTTATCATAATATAATGACATGACTTCTTTTGACGTGGGATTTGTGCTTCAAGAAAGTAAATATAGCTAGACAGGTGAGAAGGTAAAGCTGGTAGCTATATTTCATGGGGGCATGTAGACTTTTTTTAGTGCATTGTGAGTGAAGTACATATACGATTTAAGACACACTTTTGCTGTGCTTCACTGCTGATGTCTCTCAGCAATGTGGGATTTTTTTTGTGTGCAGATGGGAATTTGTAAATACTGTATCCCTGGTTATCCTCTCTGACATTTCTTTATTTAATGTGCCCTTCAAAGGCAGTGTTAAAAAAATTAATTTCATTACAATTTATAGGATTGTGGGGAGTGGGTGTCAATGGAATTAAGCCCCTGCTTTCCTGTTGCAGTGCCCTTACCATTTCCAACATCCAGCCTGGCTCGACGGGAAACTGGGAGTGTCGTGTGAGGACAAGTCGAGGGAACAATACCAGAACCGTTCACATCGTGGTCTTGGAGAGCTCTGCTAAGTACTGCCCTCCAGAGAGAGTGGTGAACAACAGAGGAGAGTTCAGGTCAGTGCCAGCTTCTCCACACATCTACCCAGCCCATTTTCACATACGTGAAAAACGATTCTATACTTTTAAGTTCTTCACCAACAGGTATTGCTGCGCGTAGTTCTTAATACCAAACATTTTGGGATATGTAGATGTTTTAATTTTATTTTGTGTTTTGGATAGCAAGTGGGGCTTATTTCCTTTGCTGAGACTTTTTTGTAGAATTCAGTATTGAAGAGGAAAGCAACACAAAAAAGAAGTTTGGCTTGTATACAATCTCAAAGAAATAAGTACTTTTTGTAAACTTTTCTTATTTCTAATCAAAAGGGCATTTACTGTTATTGCATTATCGACTTGTATAGTGCAAATTATTTTATCATTCACAGTGTAGTTTCATCCCTTGAATTTTGTACATATTTAACTGCTGATTTAGCTTCAGCATAGGGTGAATTGTGTAAATGTTTTCATTCTATATCTTATATAATAGAGGTTTTCATTATCTGACTTTGTTGTGTGTGTTAACATTTTTTAATTTGCAAATTGAGGAGCTCTTCACAGCACGATTTGAGAACAAGTGTTGTTGAATTCCATGGCAGTGTAAAGAACAGAGCTTTTGGCTCTTGAAGGTGTCTTGAAGGAGTCTTCTTTGAGTCTTACAGCTGAAGAATGTTACACATACCTAAAGAAAGCTTCGTAGCTGCATTTTGACCACTTTTCAGTCTGGAATTAACCTGTATTTCTTATTTTGCTGACAAAGCTCCCTGCTATAACAATTTTGTCAAGTTCAGTATTTTACCAGATAAGCAGTTGAGGATTATTCGGCTATATAGTGTCCCCTAGTGACAAAAAACAGAATGAGGTGAAGCACTGAAATCTTCAATATGTTGCGTGTGAGGGGGGTGATGGGAGGTTTTGAGTTGGCAGAGTCACATCAGCACATCTGTGTATCAAGGAAGTAACAACCCCAGGGTTTCTTTTTTAATAGCGTGTTTTATTATAAGAGGGATGTGTATTAAAAATTCTGCCACACCATGTGGAAAATTACAAAAAAGTTCTTTTCTGTGTGATTGAACTCTCCTCTCTGGAAGGGAATGATTTAGAAATGCATTAATCTGG